AGCAGCCTCATGCTGTGGGGCTGTTTTTCAGTGCCAGGGACAGAGGGACTCGTCAGAGTAGAAGATAAGCTCAATGCACCAAAATATTGAGTTGGCCTTAATGAAAACCCAGTCCAGAGCATTCAGAACCTCAGACTGGGCAGAAAATTCACCTTCCAACAGGACAATGAACCTAAGCACACAGCAAGAGTGGCTTATAGACAACTCTGTGAATGTCCTTGAGTGGCCCAGCCAGAGCATGAGCTTGAACCCAATCAAATAATTCTGGAGAAATTAGAAAATGTGCATCTGCCCCCATCCAACCTGACAGAGCTTGAGAGGTGAAGAGGTGAGGAGAAGAATGGCAGATAATTGCCAAATGATGATGATCAAAGTTTGTCGCATTAAACAAAAAGGACTTGAGACTGTAAAGGTGCTTCAGCAAAATATTTAGTTACTTGAATACTTATGCAATGTACTTATTTCAGTTTTTTTTATAAATTTACAAAAGTTGTGACAATTCTGTTTTTGCTTTTTCAGTATGGCGTATGGAGTGTAGATTGATGGGGAAAAAAAGTAATTTAAAGCAGTTTAACATAAGGCAGCAACGTAACAAAATGTGAAAAAATGAATGGGGTATGAATACTTTCGCAAGGCACTGCTTTCTGCCAAATTAGGCATTGCGCTTTCTCCATTCATATTAATATGTGAGCACCATATGGGTATATTTCGGAAGTCTATGGACATCGATGATAACTACACTTATAACTATATTAAAAACCATGTTCATGAAATGAGAATAGCTTAAAGGGGTCATCAGATGCCCAGATCCACAGTTTGATATGATTCTTTAGGGTCTTAATGAAAAGTCTATAACATACTGTGGCGGGACGACCAAACGACAGACACAGCGCACACCCTCTCGCACCGCGCCGGAACAGAGCCAGAGAAACCGGGTTTTAGTCGACAGCCTCAACCAACCACAGGGTAAATGACAATAGAAGAAACGTCACTTACCCCTTTTGTGGCTGGGAGGCCGTCTCCATCGTTCCTCCGTCTCAGTCCGGGTTTTCACTAGCTTTTGCGAGCGAGAGGGGATGACGTCATCAGGTGTTCACCAACTGTACTGTCTAGGCTCCGCATTGCCTGCATTCTCCACCAATGTGGCAGAACGACCAAACGACAGACACAGTTGGTGTGGCGTCAGGCCTTGGAGAGGCTTTTATTAACAAAATATAAACAAAGTGTCCAGGGAAAAGGGGAATCAAGTGTCCAAAATAAAACCGGGGATCTGGTGTCCTTGTCGTGCTGCGGGGTTCGTGTAGGGAAGGGCAGTGGTCAGGAAGGAAAGGTCCAGGTAAGGGGCAGAGTCCGGTGGCCGGCGGCGATTAAGGGACGGGGTGATGCTGATAATTAGGGGGAGGCAGCCGACTCGTCACAATACTTTGGTTAAAATGTGTAATGGTAGTGTAAAACAACACTCTTTTTACCCTGTC